ACTTTTGAGACGTTTAGTGCAACCTGGCTGTTGGGAAGAATTATAACTTTGTTTGGAGCGGTGTTGATGCGTGGAGAATTGATGATCTGAAGAGCTCTTTTCTTGCAGTCTTTGATGAAAAAAGAAGGAAATTGTAACTCAGTGAATGTTTGGTGAATGTAAGTACATTCCTCGTCAAGAAACTCAGGACTACAAATTCGGTATGCTCTTAGGAAAAACCCGATGATGATGCCTCTTTTGGTCTTGGTATCTTGACTGGAATAGAAGTGTGTGAGATCATTTTTATTGGTGGGTTTCCGATAAACTTGAAATCACGCACCTTAACCGACTACGAGAAACAAGCACTGAGTCTGGGACTCAAATTTACCACCAACATACGCAAACCTAACTATCAACTCAATCTTGTTACCAGGAACCATAGACACAGTGACAGCAACTTCCAGAAGGGTTATATACAGGGCCTTCTCACTGCAGCTTTATGTGAACCTTCTTCTTCTAATCTTCCTAGAAGATACATCACTGCTCTTAAGGACCTCGCCAACGACCCCAACATTATCGTCACCACCGCCGACAAAGGAGGTGGAGTCGTCATACTCAACACCAGTGACTACAACACTAAAATGATGGACCTTTTGAATGATCAATCTACTTACGAACCTATCAGCACTCAACAGTGGGAGACGCTTACCAAATGACTTTCTATACAAAAGCAGACAAATACTCAAACGCACTAGAGAAGGGAAGAAACTTCTGTACTTGTTACCAAGCAACCCTAAACCAGCACACATGTATGGTTTACCTAAGACCCATAAACACAATATTCCTCTCAGACCAATCACGTCAGGAATAGGCAGTGCTCCACACAAACTAGCCGGAGTTCTTGCCAAACATCTTTCCTGCCTTCTGGGGACCATCAGCCCCGCTCATCTTAAACACTCAGGCGACCTTCTCAACCGCATCCGTAACCTCTCCATCCGTAACAAGAAACTAAGCAGTTTGGATGTGACTTCCCTCTTCACAAAAGTACCTACCAAAAAAGCCATCGAGGTTCTACGACGTAAAGTCAACCAGGACCTTAATCTTCCTTTACCTCCCGGAGATTTTGTTGACTTGATTGAACTCTGTGTTAACTTCAACTGTTTTTCCTTCAATAACAAGCTCTACAAACAAACCTACGGCATGGGAATGGGGTCCCCAATAAGTGCCGTCCTAGCCAACTTATACATGGAACACCTAGAGTCCGAACACTTCGCCAACATCATCCCTTCAAGCGTCACTTGGTTACGTTACGTGGACGATGTCCTCGTAATAACTCCAAGACGTTTTGATGTACGGATCTTCAGGCGAGGCTCAACGCGTTGAACCAGCGATTCAGTTTACACTAGAAGAAGAGTCCAATGACAAGCTACCTTTCCTCGACGTCCTCATTCACAAAGTAGACAACAACCTAAGATTTCAAGTTTATCGGAAACCCACCAATAAAAATGATCTCACACACTTCTATTCCAGTCAAGATACCAAGACCAAAAGAGGCATCATCATCGGGTTTTTCCTAAGAGCATACCGAATTTGTAGTCCTGAGTTTCTTGACGAGGAATGTACTTACATTCACCAAACATTCACTGAGTTACAATTTCCTTCTTTTTTCATCAAAGACTGCAAGAAAAGAGCTCTTCAGATCATCAATTCTCCACGCATCAACACCGCTCCCAACAAAGTTATAATTCTTCCCAACAGCCAGGTTGCCACTAAACGTCTCAAAAGTACTTTCACAAGCTAACACCAGAGTCGCCATCGCTTCTACCACTTCAATAAAGGATCTAACCAGGACAAAACCCAAGCACCACGAACCAGTCAATGCAGGAGTTTACACTATACCCTGTGGAGGCTGTGACAAGATCTACGTAGGTGAAACAGCAAGAAACCTCGACACCCGCCTCAATGAACACATATACGCATGTAGGAACGACAACTTAAACAACGCCTGTGTACAACACCGAAATTCCACCAATCATCTTATGAAATTCAGAGACGCCCAATTAGTGATAAAAGAAACTAATTTCCGCACACGCAAGTGCCTTGAATCAGCACTGATCGCTGTTTCGAATACAATTAAACAAAACAACGGCAGCTTCACCATCTCCGAAGTCTTAGCAAGAATCCTCCTGAAAACAGTAAACCCTGCCATCACATAGTCTCTCCTGTTATACTACACAAAGCACAGAGAGTGAACACTGAAACAACCTGCCTCATTCCAGTTTTATATTTGTCCAACCTATTTTTATGTTACCCAAGTAATAGCTTTTATATCCTTTTACTCATGTACGAATTAATTGCTTTTGTCACTACCACTACTACTACTACTACTACCACTAGTGAACATCGGAATGGTACCTCACTAGTATTCACCTCACTCTGAGCCTTTATATACCCTCTGTGTCCATGTATTGTTTGTAATGGCTTGATAAAGCTCCTGGAGAGCGAAACGTTGCCACAATAAATGTCACATTAGTTGCACTTGTGTCCTTTTACTTTACATAATGTAAATTATGAACAACAGTGAACCAAAAAACTGATCTTACTGAAATGCCACTTGTGACTTGTCCCAATTCTTACTAGACCCCCATTAATGCAAACTCTGTCTCGTATTCCATTGGTGAACCTTTCATAGTTCCATGCTAGAAACATACCTCCTATGCCATGGTCTGCGACTTTCTTAAGTTTTTTTGTGAGGCACTCTACAGAAGGCCTTACTGAAATCAAAATGAATTACATCATATTCTTTATCATTGTCTTCTGCCTCATGTGCTTTATTAAAATATATCAGGAAATTTGTCAGGCAGGAACAATATCTTGTGAATCGATGATGATACGCATTAATCAAATTATGCTCATTAGAATGACCTCATAATATCCGCTAGAATTGATTCTAATAATTTGCTTACTACAGGCGTTAGAATTATTGGACGTTGATTTGACAGAATTGATTATCCCGTGATTTGGATATAGGAATTACATTAAGCATCTTCCACTTCTCCTGTACATCATCAGTTTAGACTGATGAGTTAAACACGCTAGTTAGCGGCTGACTTAGTTCCCACTTGCAGTTCTTTAAGTACCCTTGAATATACTTCGTTGGGGTCTTGGGACTTATTTTGTTTAAATTTGTTTCATTGTTTGATAATCATATCCCTTGTGACTGTAACGCTTCTTAATTTATTTTCTTCGGGTCCTAAATAATTAATGATTCCTGGGATATCGTTTATGTCTTCTTGTGTCAATACCGACAAGAAAGAAGTATTAAAAATAGAGCATATATCCTGTTCATTTCAGTAAGCTGTCAAGACCTACTTTGTAGTGATCTGTTTTTACCCTGAACTTTGCCCAATACACTTGAAAGAACCCTTTTGGATTTGTCTTTGATTCTCTAGCTACTTTAACTTCATATTCGTGTATAGCTTCCCTAATCCCCCTTTTACCCTTTAAAATAAACATGTTGGTCAATAAGGTTAACTTCTCTTCTGATGGGCTTATAAATTTCTCTTTTTTCCCTACTAGATGTTTTTATCTCCTATTCATCAATTTAGAATCGTTCTTATTTGACCTAATTTCTCCCTGAGAATTGTATATATTTTCAGCCCTTTGTACATTATTAAAAAAAAAGTTACATTCACGGTTCCTATCATTATTGTATCATCTTCAATAGAATCATTAGACAGATATCCCCCAGTCAAAACTAGACAAGTATTTCCTAAGTCTATTATAATGGTGCAAAACCAAAATCTGGAACTTTTACCCTATTATCTTAATTATCGTATTCCCAGGTAACATCAACAGTAACAGATTTGTGATCGCTTCCGCCATGCTCCCAGATTATTAACGAGGGTTTCCATATTTGACAAAACCAGGTCCAACAGAATGTTACCTCTGGTAGGTTCTGTTACAAACTGCTTTAAAAAGCAGTCCTGCAGTCCTAAACTAATTCTAGGAAGTCACTGGACTCTAAATTTCCGGTCTAAGTAGTCCAGACTATTTGACTTAAGTTAAAATCCCCTACTGCTAGTACGTCATCATGTTTAGAAGCCCTAACAATTTCATTCCTTTTTGGGAAGGGGGGGGGAGCGGTATATAACGCTAAAAATAAATATTTCTCTTCCTGGAAATTCTACCCACACAGATTCAGTGTCTAATTCATCGATTTTTATACAGGCTTTTCATGGAACATTTCAGGTTATCTTGGACACATAACGCTACTCCACTCTCCTTCCTGGTATTTCCATCACATGAAACAACTCAAACCTTTAAATGTGGCGCACGACAATCATGTCCCGACTCTTTAAATTAAACCATATTTCAGTTATTGCAATAACATCAACGTTACTCGCATGTGCAACGAAACGCATTTCATTATGTTTATTCCTGACGTTTCCATTATTATTAATATTAAAAATATTAAGATTTTGTTTTGTTTTACATATTTTCCCAAGTCAGCTTTGCTTTTCTATAATTTTTTTTATCATCTTTACCCAGTGTTACTTGAGGACTGTTATTCCTGACATTAAAGACTAAATCAATATTTTCGCTATTCATATTTTTCCCTTCCAAAATCCTTCAGTTATTCCTATCATAAGTCTAACCGAGAAGTTAATTTCAATATTCCTCAGTTGTCTCTTTGCGTCACTATACTTCCTACATATACAGACATCCTTTCTCCCACTGTATGAGCGAAACGTGCTCAGTAAAGGATCACATTATACTGAATTTATATCTTTTTTTTTCATGCCCACATTAAGCCAGTTCTATGCATGCATTTTTGTTTTACAAACGAGGTTTGAATTTTGAATCTGAATATTAATAAAAGTCTTCAAAATAACCCTTTAGAAGTAACTAAATTAGCCAAGATACCTTTTCATAACTCTGTATAAAGAACTGAGGTGAACTGTGTTCTTATGAACCTGGCAACTGAAGCCCCTTAAACACTAGAAGGAAGAAAACTGTACCTTTCTGGCAGGGGAGAAACTGCCAGCCATTGTTGGTGCAGGTGATCTCCTGCGTACTGACGTTGTGGGAAACTTGGTAACTATAATTGCAGGTGACGGTAACTTGCTCGCCTATCGTCCACACATCAGTAGACAAGGAAGTTGTATTGGCGTTAAGTAGATTAATGTTCAGGCATCCTGGGGAAAGAAGGAAAAATTCTTGTAAGATGGTGATAACAGCATAACACTAGCTTGGGTCTAGTTATAGGTACAATAAGAATGAATGTGTTCCAATTATAATAATCAAGATGAAATGTTAAACCTGTATGGGTTATACAAAACCTGGGAAATGAGGTTTGGGGGGGATTATGTTTAATCCATAACAAAAGAGGGTTAATTCATTTCTTTTAATATAAGATCCCATCAACACTACCCACACCTTGGAGAGAACTGTTGTGTCAACCCAAAATATTATACAAAACTAATTCTAAGAAAAGACAACTGTGCCTTCCTATAAATTACTAAATGTGTAAAATACTATATGTAAAAACGAGAAACTTTCGTTTTTTCTTTTCCAGGTAACCTGCCTGGGTGGGAGACGGTCGGTGTGTTAAAAAATACTGAGCCTTCAGTAAAATTATTAAGTCAGCTCAGGGGTTGTACCTAGTAAATTTGAGGGTAAATGTCTACCCGATAAGAGATCTTACTGAGCCACGCTATTCATCGTGAACTAGCCTAGTGCCATAGGAGATCAATTCTTTCATTATGAATATAATAATGGTATACAATACTAATACATGTGCAACAGTTAGGTATCTTTATTCCGAAACGTTTCGCCTATACAGTATTCGTCTTCCGTGGAATACAGACAAGACAGCAGAAGCAGTGGAGATGTAAAAATGAAGTAATCATGGACAGAACACATCGACTCCAGGCTGAGGGACTGATTACATGAAACTCCTATCAACTTCCACTGTTTCTCTGCAATGGACAGAAGAAGCCACTGGCTAGCGAAACGTTTTTAGAATTAAGATTCTACAAAAATCGTCATGATGTAATCAGTCTATCACCTTCGACAAAGTAGTGATGAGGTGGTCAGTCCCTCATCCTGAACTCTACTGAAGGACTGACCACCTCAAAGCTACTTCGTCGAGGGTGATGGACTGATTGCATCATCTTATCACCTCATCTGCTTCTGCTATCTCCGCCATACAGGATCTGAATAACACTACTGTGCAGGCGAGAAGTTTAAGAATCAAGAAAAGTAACTGCTGTACATGTGCCTTGCTTAACTAATTATTTTTGTCACTATATTAGCCATCTAAAACAAATTAGTCAGCTAAACATTAACTTGCATGAGTTAAATATTGATGACAAGAGACAAAAAGCAACTCACAAGATGAGAGGAATTTTTCAGAGGTTTGAAATATGCTTAAGGGAAGTGATTAACGAGGGTTTGTTGTAAATATTGTAGGCTTGTACTCTATACCTGGAGTTTACCTGGAGAGAGTTCCGGGGGTCAACGCCCCCGCGGCCCGGTCTGTGACCAGGCCTCCTGGTGGATCAGAGCCTGATCAACCAGGCTGTTACTGCTGGCTGCACGCAAACCAACGTACGAGCCACAGCCCGGCTGGTCAGGAACCGACTTTAGGTGCTTGTCCAGTGCCAGCTTGAAGACTGCCAGGGGTCTGTTGGTAATCCCCCTTATGTATACTGGGAGGCAGTTGAACAGTCTTGGGCCCCTGACACTTATTGTATGGTCTCTTAACGTGCTAGTGACACCCCTGCTTTTCATTGGGGGTATGTTGCATTGTCTGCCAAGTCTTTTGCTTTCGTAGTGAGTGATCTTCGTGTGCAAGTTCGGTACTAGTCCCTCTAGGATTTTCCAGGTGTATATAATCATGTATCTCTCCCGCCTGCGTTCCAGGGAATACAGGTTTAGGAACCTCAAGCACTCCCAGTAATTGAGGTGTTTTATCTCCGTTATGCGCGCCGTGAAGGTTCTCTGTACATTTTCTAGGTCAGCAATTTCACCTGCCTTGAAAGGTGCTGTTAGTGTGCAGTAATATTCCAGCCTAGATAGAACAAGTGACCTGAAGAGTGTCATCATGGGCTTGGCCTCCCTAGTTTTGAAGGTTCTCATTATTCATCCTGTCATTTTTCTAGCAGATGCGATTGATACAATGTTATGGTCCTTGAAGGTGAGATCCTCCGACATGATCACTCCCAGGTCTTTGACGTTCGTGATTCGTTCTATTTTGTGGCCAGAATTTGTTTTGTACTCTGATGAAGATTTAATTTCCTCGTGTTTACCATATCTGAGTAATTGAAATTTCTCATCGTTGAACTTCATATTGTTTTCTGCAGGCCACTGAAAGATTTGGTTGATGTCCGCCTGGAGCCTTGCAGTGTCTGCAATGGAAGACACTGTCATGCAGATTCGGGTGTCATCTGCAAAGAAAGATACGGTGCTGTGGCTGACATCCTTGTCTATGTCGGATATGAGGATGAGGAACAAGATGGGAGCGAGTACTGTGTAGGACCCATCTTGTTTAAGTGGTCAGTCGTCACGTGAGGTCACAGACCCTGAGCTGCTTTGGGGATAAGCGTGGACGGTTACAAAGCATGGCTTGCTTCTGCAGTGTTTTAAAAATTGAGGTTGGAGAGTTGAAGGAGGAGGTCTTGCTTCTCCAGGAGGAGATTAGGAGGCTGAAGGTCCACCTCAATGGGTCTGGGAGAGAGTGTGAGGTGGCTGGAGTTGTGGGAAATGAGGCTTCTAGCAGTGAGGTGCAGTCTATCTCTCACTGTGAGGAGGCTGGAGTTGGGGAGGTAGCAACGGCTACCAGCAGTGAGGTGCAGCCCAGCACCTGCTACAAGTGGCGGGTGGTTCACAGTAATGGGAGGCGCATCAGAGTAAGGAAAGTTAAGAGTGAAGATCTGAAGGTAGGAAATCGCTTCTCTGTTCTTCAGGATGAATGTACTTCAGTGGCCAGTGAAGGTAAGGGTACTACTGCCCCTGCTAATGGAGGTAAGCGCATTCTTGTGGTTGGTGACTCTCAGGTAAGATATATTGACCGTGCTTTTTGTAATAGGAATAAGAAGATGAGAGATAGAGTGTGCTTCCCTGGAGCTGGTGTTGGGGACATTGTCAACAGGCTGGATAATATCATGTCAGGTAATAGGAACAAGCCCATTATCTGTCTCAGTGCTGGTGGAAATGATATTGGGAAGGGTAGGAGAGAAGAGCTGCTAGATAAGTACAGGTCAGCTATAGATTTCATTAAGTCTAAGGGAGGGATCCCAATCATATGTAGCATATTGCCTAGAAGGGGAGTAGGAAATGAATGGTTCTCTAGGGCAATTGGTGTAAATTGTTGGCTAGACAGATACTGCAAGGAACTTGCAATCCCATTCATTGACAACTGGAACAACTTTTATGGCAAACATGATATGTATGCAAGGGATGGGGTACATCTCTCTGGGGCAGGGGTGGTAGCACTTGCAGACTCGATTGAGAAGGCCATTGGTGAAATGCCTATGATTTTAAACTGATGGAAGATAGAGGTATGGGTGTGTGTGGGAAACAAGCAGGTTGCAACACTAGGGTTGGAAACAGTAAATGTATAAAAGCATTCAGCATGAAGTTATAAATAAAGACAATAGATCAGGTCAGCAAACAAAGGGGGACAGCAGAGGGCAGCAAGGGACTAGCTCCCTTAAGGTTTACTATACTAATAGCAGGAGTGTAAAGAAATAAGATAGATGAGCTAAGATTAATTGCAAGTGCAGGAAACATAGATATTATTGCTATAACAGAGACCTGGCTCAATCTGAAAGATAGAGAGATGCCCCTCGAATGTCACATACAAGGCTATAAATTATTCCACACTGACAGGGTCAACAGGAAAGGTGGTGGAGTAGCGATGTATGTCAGAGACAATTTAAATTGTTGTGTTAGACAAGATATTAAATTAGAAGCGTCAGCCACTGAATCTGTTTGGTTACAGCTTCTCGAGGGCCGAGAAAAACTAATTTTGGGTGTGATTTACAGGGCCCCAAATCTTGATAGGGAGTGCAGTAAACTTCTATGGGACGAAATTCGTAAGGCATCTACATACGAAAATGTTGTGCTAATGGGAGATTTCAACTATAGACAGATTGACTGGAGCAATTTGACAGGAAATTTAGAGTCAGGTGACTTTCTTGATACAATCCAGGATTGTTTTTTAAAACAGTTTGTGACAGAGCCAACTAGGGGAAATAACCTCCTTGACTTGGTTCTTGCCAGTAGGGAAACACTAATTAATAATCTTGAGGTTAATGATGAGCTTGGGGAAAGTGATCACAAATCACTCAGTTTTAATATATCATGGAATTCCCCTAATAATGGCAATCAAGTCTCCGTCCCTGACTTTCGCTTGGCTGATTTCATAGGACTGAAAAATTACTTAGGTGGGCTGAACTGGAATGACCTGACTAAGGGTCAGGTAGGTGGTGATGGTTGCCGATATGATGCTTTCCAGGGCATAGTTCTAGCTGCTCAGTCAAATTATGTTCCAAATAGGGAAATCAGATCAAGCAAAAATGATCCTAAATGGATGAACAATAGATTAAAATATCTGATTGGTCAAAAGAGAGGCATATATAGGCAAATCAAAAGAGGAGAGGGGCAATTAAGAAATCGATATATTCAGTTAAAGAGAGAAATAAAAAGGGGAATTAGAAAAGCAAAAAGAGATTATGAGGTTAAAGTTGCAAGAGAATCGAAGACTAACCCAAAAGGATTCTTTCAGGTATACAGAAGTAAGATCAGGGACAAGATAGGCCCACTCAAAAGTTCCTCGGGTCAGCTCACTGACAGTGATAAGGAAATGTGTAGAATTTTTAACACATACTTCCTCTCAGTTTTTACACAGGAGGATACCAGCGATATTCCAGTAATGATAAATTATGTAGAACAGGACGATAGTAAACTGTGCACGGTTAGGGTCACAAGTGACATGGTCCTTAGGCAAATAGATAAATTAAAACCTAACAAATCCCCAGGCCCTGATGAACTGTATGCAAGGGTTCTAAAGGAATGTAAAGAGGAGCTTAGCACACCTTTGGCTAATCTTTTCAACATATCACTACAAACTGGCATGGTGCCAGATAAGTGGAAAATGGCAAATGTGATACCTATTTTCAAAACAGGTGAC